TGACGGCCCTGCCCGCTCTGCCCTCGGTGCCGCGAGCTGCCGAGAGCGCACTGTAGGATCGGATCCCAGGGGCCCGGCCCGGCTCTGCGGCAACATGTGTCACTGCCCGTCTTCCCGGGGCGCTGCAGGGGAGTGGGGGGCTGCTTTCCAAAGTGAACGTGTGGGCAAAGCACATCCATTTTTTGGGGGGGGTACCCCATTCACCTCCAGGTGGGACACAGACCTCGAAAAGTCCTGTCCCTAGAGGGACAAAGCTCGGGCGTAGGTTCCTATCACAATCCCGTTAGGGGGTACCGCCTTGTTAACGTGGAGAAACGGGCCCCCTAGCAGAGGAGGGGGTACTGCAGGTTCTGGGTACACGGGTTGTAAAAAGCAGCGGAGCCTGGACTCAAAACCCGTTTTTTTTGTGTGTTTTTTTTTCTCGTTTATTTTTTTATTTTATTTTTCGGAGTCGAAGGTGCTGTGTGCCTAGTCTCCCGTGTCAAAGGGAACCGATCAGAAATGGGCGGGGGGGCTGACAGGCGCCGATTTACGGTTGGGAATCGGTTATCTTGCCCGGGATGTGATTTTCCAGGACAATACGCAGGCAGCATCCTTTTCTCTCCCTAAGATGCCTCCTGGAATAGAGGTTCCGAAAAAGCCAGGTGCGTGACCGAGCACCCCCGGAGCCCCGCTCGACCCTCGGCCCACCCGCGAAAAAACACCCCTGGTCCCCTTCTCTCAGAAGACGGTGCACACAAATGGCCCGGGTGGCGAGCGGGGCTCGTGGAGGGAAAAAACACCCGTGAGCACTGGGTGTTGGTCATGGCGGCGAGGGGCACTGCGGCAGAATTTTTTCCTCCCTTCTTTGCTGCAATCTGGGTGCGGCTAGAGCAATTTGTCATAGAATCTGGGGGGCTCATTTTTCCAGCCAATCACTTTTGGAGAAATGAGCGCATTGCAGCAGAATGCGCTGACGTCAGAGACCACCCCTTCTGCGCCTCCATATAAACCCCACCCAGCCAGCCCCTAGCGCAGACGGCGACGAGCTGGATGGAGCGCGCCTTGGCTTGCTGGCCTGGGCCGCAGCTCCTCCGAAGAACCGGGGCGCCCACGCGAGAATCTCCCCGCCAGGTGAGTCGTTGGCCATCCTTGGCGGAAAGGATGTGCAAAATAAAGGCTACACCCTCGTCCGGGTCGGCCGCTGTCCTCCTGGACATGCCGAAGGACGAAGGACAACCGCCGGGACCTTCTCTGAAAGGTGGCCACCTCGCCTGGTCCCAAGCATCGGCAACAAAATGCTGTCAGGAAGGAAAATCTCGAGGCACATTTTTTTGGGGGGGGGGGGGGAATCAGGGCCCCATTTTCGTCCAGTTCATGAGGGTAGGGAGGGTGGTGGGGGCTTAAATGAAGAGGAGTGGGAGGAATCGGCCCCAAACCCATGTCGGAATCCCGTGTCCCGTGGTCACTGGGGTCCAAAGCCCCGATTTTCTGTGTTTAAAGCTACCTTTCGAACCACAAATGGTGGGAGATATGGCGGCCGACGCATTCTGCATGCCCCGCGGATTAGGGGGGAAAAGCACCCGAAGAGAAAGGTCTCCTGGGCATAGTCCTCCCACCCCCCAGGTTCTGGTGAGCACGTTGGTGGCCTGTGGGCGTGAGGAGTAGAGGTTCTTACCCGCCAGGGATTCCCGAGGCAAGCACACAGATTGAGTGCAGAGCCCGCGTTAGTGAAAAACGAAGAGTAAAATTTCTAACCGATATCATCTGGGTTCACTCGGATAAACCTCCTTGTTAACGGTGGAGAGAGATGGCGCCCAAGTGCAAACCTGCCAGAAGCCCCCCACGATCAGTTCTGTAGGAAGGGCGGACGGAGGGAGGGCCCAGTAATTGGGGGTCCTGGCAGAGGAGAAAAGGGGGGTGGGTTGGCGTGGAGAGAAGGCTGTCTGGGAAGCAAGAGGGAAGAGAGGAAAAAGCAGAAAAGGGGGTGTGTTTGGGAGGTCTGGGCGCCGTGAGCTGGGAATTGGGGGTCGGAGGGTCCTTTCAGCATTGCGTGATGGTCTCTGGAAGATTCTGACATGTTGCGGGCTTTTGATTTTTGATAAAAGTCGCCGTTTGCCATTTCCTTTGTCCCTGTCAAGCCCCCCCATACCACCCCCTCCCCACTCAGGGATGGCGGGCTGTGTGTGTGTGTGTGAGTGAGTGTGAGTGTGATTGTGTGCGCGCGCGCGTGCGTGTGTGGGGGGGCGCTAGCGGGTTGCTACGTGGCAGGTTTCTGGAATGTTTTCTTGATGGCCGGCAGAGGGCGCTGGTGGCACTGCGGAATTTTGGGGGGCGGGGTGGGGAGGGGAGGTGGCCTTTGTTCTTCTGCTGGAGGGGGTCAGGCGTGAGATTTACTGGAGAATTCTGTATTCATTACCCAAGTGGGGAATGTTTTAAGATCCCTAGGTTCACTGGGGAACGGCTGCAGGGTTCGCGCTGGGCGGAGATGCCCTGGTCCACACTGGTTGCGTGACTTGGGGGTCGTGGAAATGCGTGGACGCGGATTAGTTTATTTCATTTGGTTTTCGGTTTGAGGATCTCAGGAAGGTGTGGCTCATTTGAGCAGGATGAAGAGGCCATGCAGTAGTCAATTAGGCGCCATCGTGCGGGGTCTTGGAATTCTTCTGTGGAGAAGGGAGGGAGGCTAGATTGGGGCGGGGGGCGGGGGCGGTTAATGGTGGTTTGGATGAGTTGCGGTGGTTTTGGCCGTGTTTATATTATTTTGTAGAATACCATATTTTGTATCATGTGTCCAGAGACCACTGAAATGAGTGAAAGTGTTGTATTGAGAACCAGATCTTTTACGTTTTAATTTGTTTAATTGGACTTACCGAAGGTCGGGGCCAAGCTTTCTGTGTTTTTACTTATTAAAAGTGGAATCATGTTCTGGAAAGACCCTTATGGCGAGTGTTTTCTTGATATCCTCATGTCTCTTTGGTGACCCCCACTGTTGCGAGACACAGAAGGCCCTCTGGGCGGTTGCGTGGGGGTGCTGCTGCATGCCCACAGGTGGATTCTGGCTGGTGATGGCGTGCCTGCGTTTTAGGGGACTTAGTGGTCTTGCGTGATGAGCTGGGGTGGGCTGTGCCCACCCTCATAGCCTGAGACCTGTTGGGCGCTCTCCCGCCCATCTTATGCCAGCTGTTGCCCTGGCAGCTGCGGGCCAGGCACGGGAGGGGCGAGAGGCGCCCTCCGCAGGTGGCTGTGCTCTTGGGCTCTGGAGCCGACTGTGCGCCCCCTAGCGGTCTGTGCCTGCAAATGTTCTCAGCCCGCCAAATCCGGCTTGAGTTTGCGCATGCGCACAGTTAACACTTGTGTCCTGTCAATCAAGTCCTCCTTACCCCCTCCCACTTCTCTCCCTCCTCCCCTTCCACTTCTCTCCCTCCTCCCCTCCTATTTCTGCTCTCCCTCCTCCCCCTCCTATTTCTCCCATCTCTGACCCCTCCCATTTCTCTCCTTCCCCCTCCCCTCCCGTTTCCCTCATCCCCCCCTTTACTCCCTCCTCTTTCTGATTCCTTCCTTCCTCTGTACCCCTCCCTCTTCCCTCCTAACCCCTCCCTCTTCCTCCTCACCCCTCCCTCTTCTCTCTTCACCCCTCCAACTTCCTTCCTAACACTCCTCCTCCTTTGCTCTACTCCCCTCTTTTTTCTAATTGCGCGCACTCTTCTGCTGTTCCTGCGCTGGCCATTAGAGGTCATCAAGATGGTTTCTAATATGGCCCCCTCCCATGCTATAGGTTCTCTCTTCAGGGATGACATCACCATTCACCTCCTTGTCTTCAAGGACCACCTGTCGAAGCCCAGCTGCTGCCAAGGTGCTTGCTGCTCATCTCTACCTTATGGTATGCAACCCCTCCTTGTGGTGGTTTATGTACAACATGGCGGCCAAATCCACCCCTGCCACACTCCTCCCACTACCCCCAGACCCATGAGCAATTAAAGGACAATTTTAAATTTTAACTAATTAGTTTTAGTTATAATTAACTCATTTAAATTTTAATTAGTACCTAGAATTGGGCTTTTAAGCGGTTCCTTTAACCTTTGATCAATTGCAGAAGACCTCAGGAGCGCCCATTTTTGGATCCCACCCGCATACCAAGCAGCCACTGGCAGAGACCCCCCAGGACCAGGACCACAGAGGCTGAAGAGGACCAGAACTGACCAACCAGCTGTTCCTCTTGGCTAAAGACTTAATCCAATGCCCTAGTGAGGGGGCATTGGACATTAACCCCTGACCTTTGCTATGCTTGTGCCTATTGCTATGAATACTTTCCTGTAAGTCTCTGCTTGTGTTAATATGCCAGCGACCTGGAGTGTTTCCCTCCCCAAGAAGGTGTCAGTTTTTCTCAGCTGACCCTATTGTTGCCCGGATGATGTCCTGAATAGAAGGATCCCTTTGGGAACTTCTCAGGAGGGGGACCTGGGCCAAGGGCTCCGCCAGCATCTCACTGGCAATTCCAAAGCCGTGGTGGGCTTCTGGAATAAGCATGTGCCCTGACGTCATGGGCATCCCCGTCCTTTCCGGGGAATGGTGATGAGAAGAGCAACCTCCTAGGGTTGTTGTGAGTATTAAATGAGCCAAATTAGCCTGGGGCAGGGCTGGGCACAGAGGAGGTGTTCCGCAAACATTTGTTGAAAGTTTGATCGGTCAGTCCATCCCCATCCGAGTCACTTGTCTGATGCCTCTTGTTTATTTTCCCACAGCTCTCCGACAGCCCCTGTCCACGGGGCTCTCCTGCACAGGTAGGGCGCCACCAAGAAGGGTGATGGGCTGACTTGAATAGGAACATCAATTATGCATGCAGTCATTTCCAGAGCACTTTCTATGATCTTTGACTATGTTATTTCTATGTCAGACATATAGGTGATGATCATTTACAGATAAGAATGAATTTGGCCTTGGCTTGGGTCATGTTATAAAGGTGGGTGGGGATTGAATGGCCCTTCTATGGGACAGGATTTATTCACATTTACAGTGAGGGCACTGAGGCTGGAGGAGCGTAAGTATTTTGTCATAACTGCTGGCAAGACGAGGGGTCAGAGTTGGACCCTGGGTGACATTGTAGCTACCTCTTACCCCCCTGGCCCAGAGTTAGACTCAGAGCTCTTGATTTCTAATCAAGCATTTGACAGCAGGACCGTCTGAAATCCTAGCTGCCTAGGGGGGCCTTGGGGGTCTGGGTGGCCCCAATGCTGCTACCATGTGCTGGCTCCACCTCAATAATGGTGTGACCTTACACAAGTCGCTTAACTTCTCCAGGTCTCAGTTCCTTTCATGGTCTAAATGAGGATTAAAAAAAAATAAAAAAACCCACCCGCCTTTATCTACCCCACACGGTGCTTTTGAAGACCAAATGATGTAACTACTAGGAAAGTGCTTTGCAAATTGCTGTGGAAATTGCAAGGTCCTTAACACTCTGATTGTTCGCACGCCCAGCCCTAGTAATTGGGCTAGCACCCAGTAGGTGCTGTGAGTGTGTGCGCTCAATAAATAAATTTCAAAATGAATAAAAACAGAATTAATTCAACAAACCTTTTCTGAACACCGACAATATGCCCAGCACACCAGGCCTGGTACGTGACACAAAGATGATGCAAACAGTCTCTTGGAAGCTAATTGGGGTCCTCATTTGACCAGCACTTTTTTTCGTCCCCTTTTAAGCCAAGCAGTTTTGTCCAGACAAGACAAAAACAGCTCAGGCCGCTTTGAGAAGCCCAGCTTGGTGGAGACAATAGCTCCCGGGCCTCTGAAAGGGCCTGATTGGATTATATGGCAAATGAAGGTGGAAGGGTGACTTGGGAGGTGACGAATGAAGTGGGCGGAGATCTGCTTTGAGTTAATCCAGGCTATTAGGAGGGAACCTTTTGTCTTCCAGAGGCTTTTGCCACTGCTTTTTACATCCTTAATGTAAGGACGCATAATTTATGGTCAGTGAAATCCAGGCCCCAGTGAGATTTGAGTGGGCTGTAAACTCAGGCCTCCCACTACCAGCGAGTAAATACAGTGAACGCTAAGTCTCCCTTTGCCGCTTGCAAAGGCCTTTTTGCAATTGTCAATTCATTTGAACCTCACAACTCCCTGTCCCGACCCGGGGCTGGCCTACCGCCTCCCAGGGGATCCGAGGCTGTCAAGGGGCCCTTCAGATTGGGGTCCACACACATTTGCACCCCCCTTGCGTTGTAAAGGAAGAGGTGTCCTCTGCACTCGTCATTCCTGTCTCACCTCCAGCCTCCAGTTATCTCCTCCGGCTTCCTAACTGCTCTCTCCGCAGCCTGAGCCTCCGGCTCCTCCTGTCCTCCTGTCTGGCCACTACCGTCTCTCTCTTTCCTTTCGCAGCCACGCTTCTCCAAAGGCCTGTCTCCACTTGCTGTCTTCCTTCCTCACCTCCAATTTCCTCTTCAACCCACTGCTTCCTGCCTTCTCTGCTCCGTCCAGCGGCTTTCACTAAGGTAATGACTTTTCTGTAGCTTAAACCTGGGTAGTTTCCAGCTCATGGACACACGGACACATTTCCAGTCTTCCTCTCAGGTGGCTCTTGGGCTCTGGTTCACACCTATTGACACACACTCCCTCTAGAATCCACAGGGACACCTGCCCCAGCATCCCTTCTCGTAGGACCTCACGTAGCCAGAGCTCCCAACTTCTGGAACTTGCCTTTCACCATCCCTCCTTGGAGTTGAGTCCTGGCTGACCCACCTAGTGCTGAGGCCCTACGTTAGGTCAATTTCTCCAAGCCACTTCTTTCTCAGTCGCAAAATAGGATTAATAATGTTCACCTGGCAGGTCTGGCGAACTATCTTGCAGGTAAGAACCAGACACTATTTGAGGCACTTGAAATAAGGTCATTAAAGTATTCGTAAGAAAATTCAATTAGAGTCACCAACAGATTTTCTTACAGGTAAAGTTCCCACGGGGAGGGCCATAGAGAGAAGAAAGAAGTGGGGGGAGGGGGCAGGGAGAGGTGGGAGAGAAAGGAAAGAATGAGAAAAGGCACCAAAGACAATAAAGTAGGGAAGGGGACTTAGAAAATATTAACATCGGCGGAAAACACATCTAGGGAAAGGTTTCCTCTAGTGTCGGGTTGGGCTAAAATAAACAGGAAAAGGGTTTTAAATTAATGATCCAAGTGACAAGTCCCAGGAAGCTTTCAAATCAAATTGCCCCGTTTTGGGGTTTTAACTCCTATCAAGTTTAACCTCTTTACCGCCTTCATCCCGGTTAAACTCTACGTGGCCCCTTGGCTGGTGATTAAGTCCTGAAGGTACACATAGTCTTTCAATGAATGAATGGCCAACAGAAAGCCCTTCCCCTCCCCCCAGCTGTGTTTTTCAGTTTCCTTGCACTTTCCGCCCTTTTCCCTTAATGAACACAGGGCTAGTCTTGGACCTTGTCAAGGAAGAGGCTGCAGACGCTAATGAGGGAGCTGCTGGGCTCCAGTGTTCCTCTCATAAGGAGCCTTCTTTGTCTGTGAAGGAAAAACACACTGATTATCATAATGAGGTGAACTGCCGTCTGCAGGGCAGAGGCGATGGTCCCAAGGCCACGCTTGTAATTTCGGGGCCGGGGCCCAGGGTTCCTTTGCTCCTCGTTTCAGCCTTGGCGAGGCCCATTGAGTGGGGCTGAAGGTGGAAGGCGGCTTTGGGGAGAGGGTTGCTTTGCAGAAGGTTCCTTTGTTGGGCCCGGCGGGCAGCTGCACTGGGCCAGGGGCTGCCTGCCTGTTGAGATTCACACACAGATGAGGACACGGGGTGCGGGGCTCCCACTCCAGCATGCACCTTCACTTGTTTCAGCGTCCACCGGACATGAAAAAGCATGCCACGTCACAGGTGTAGGGCCCCGGGGGATTATCACAAAGGCACCCCCTGGAAGGGTATGGTTTGGGGTTCACGCTTTGGTCCCGCATTCTAAGGAGAGTGAGGTTCAGAGCACCAGAGGATTGCCAAGGGGACTTTACAATAGATCTTGCATCAGAACATGTCCTATCCACCTGAACCGGCCTGTGCCCCACCTGAACCCCCTTCTATCCTGATACTTGAACTCCCCCTTGCCCGTTAATGTCAGCAGGTCTGGCCAGAGCCTGAAACTTGCCCTGTGTGTCTCCAGTTCTGGACATTTCCCACCCCGGGGTAGATCAATCAGTTAAATTAGGTTATTTTAATTACACTTCAGGCTCTGGCCAGACCTGCAGCCAAATGGAAAAAAACTAAGAGGGAAGCGGGGTGCTTGGGAGCGAGAAAACTTGATTAGTAGGAAATTTACGCCTCTCCCTTCACTTACCTGTCAGCTGAAGGCCGGAATCAGAGTTCTGCCCTCTTCCCAAGTTAGCAAAACCAGCTCTCATCCGGCTCCCCGATAAAAAGGTTGAAGGCCCTACCTTAGAGGTGACCCAGATGTTGCCCAGAGGAGGGGACTGGAGAGGAAAGGAATAGAACAATTTTTGGAGTTTCTAAATGAGAGGATGCATTTTAATAGGGGGAAAAAAATTCCAGAGGACCCTTCTCACCTCAAATTCATACTGATAATTAAAATACAAGCCCAAGGTCACCGGTATTTCAGCATTTGAGCACCTGAGGAGGGGTGGAAGGCATTAGTTGGCCAGGATCTTGGGGGTTTGTGTTATTCCTGGAGCCCCAACTGCCTGGCCCTAGGGCAGTGATGGTGAACCTTTTGAGCTCGGCGTGTCAGCATTTTGAAAAACCCTAACTTAACTCTGGTGCCGTGTCACATATAGAAAATTTTTTGATCTTTGCAACCATAGCAAAACAAAGACTTATATTTTTGATATTTATTTTATATATTTAAATGCCATTTAACAAAGAAAAATCAACCCAAAAAATGAGTCAGAGGTGACACGCGTGTCATAGGTTCGCCGTCACTGCCCTAGGGGAACTGGCTCCCACATCCCCGCCTGCTTGGGTTTCTGGGCTCACCGGTCTCTAGCTTTTCTGTGCTCACCAGCGGAGGGGTCTGAGCTCACGGCTCCCTGAGGGGTGGCACCTGCTTGTGTGCTTGTTCACGTGGGACCCTGCGTCCCACTCTTCCAGCTCAGGTCTTGGGTGACTTCCTGGGTTGACCCCTGACCTCCAGAGCCCACGCTTCTCCACATCCATCCTTCAGTCAACCTTGGAGGCCCCGGTGATGGAGGAGGAGGCTGTAGCCAGGTGGGATCCTAGAGGATGAGTAGGACCCAGAGATGCTCCCCTTCTCCAGCTATTCTGAGCTCCGGTTTCCTGTTTTTGCTTGTTCCCACCTCTGTTCTGCATGCTACCTTCTCTCCTCCCTCACCCCTCCATCGCCACTTCCTAACCCAGTGTTCTGGGGGTGCCCTAGGCCAGCCCACACCTCCTTTGGGTGTCCCAGCACCAGCTTGGCACACGTGGGGCTCAGTAAAAGTATGTGGGATGTTTGTTTGTTTGGGCAGGTGAGTCAACGAAGGACCTCGGCTGCTAGAGGAGTTGTTGGGACGCCAGGAGTCACATGTAGGTCAAAAGGATAGAGAGTGGACTTCAATTTAGGGAGGGGTGGGCACCCCCATTTGAGCAGGGGCCTTGCCGGTCTCGCCCCTTCATTCACTCACGCGGCCAACCTTCATCCAACAGTTGATCATTACTGAGCTAGCCCATAGCCCGGCCCGGCCTGAGCACCCGCCACGCTAGCCGGTCCCTTGATGGCCTCTGCCCTCGGGAGAGTGGGCCGGGGGGTGTCGTTGCCGAGGGCGGCCTGGCCTCCCAGCACTGGCGCAGCGACTGCTCTGTAGAAGGCAGGACAGCGGGACTGTGCGAGGGGCTGGCCTGGTTCGCCTTTGGGCCAGTTGGCCGGTGACCTTTACGTAGCCAGCCTCTCCTGCCCTCTCTGCCTCCCCGACTCAGCCCAGAGCTGAATGCACCCCGGAATGTGGTATGTGTACCCTCGGGCTCTGGCCACATGGTCTCCCTCTTGAGTTGGGGGTCCATGAGCTGGACCCCTCCCTCCATGATACCTGCCTCCCGCCTGGGGCTAAATCTAGCTCCTTTGGCTGGAGACTGTCCTATGCAAAGGACAGGTGGCTGGGAACCTCCAGGGAGCTCAGTTGGCTGCCTACCTGTCTGCTCTACCTGGCGGCTCCTCCCCTGGTCTGTTGCCCACTAGGAGCTCTGCTTTCCCCCTTCTCTGTGCCCAACTCACCTGGCTTCAGCTTCCTGTGGGCCTCAGCTGCCAGCCCGCTGTCTTACCTGCCCCTGCTGCTTCGTCACCCACCTTTCACCTGCTTCCTCTGGCCCTGCTGCTGGGTCCAGACACCCCACAGCCCAAGGAGCCATTTCTCCATCCTGCTGCCCAGGCTGCCAACAGGCCCCCCGTGCCTATGGGACCAGCCCCTGCTGGCATGCTACCTCCCGCAAACATCCTCAAATGCCTACTCCCATTTGCCTGGCTTCCCAGGGTCTGCTCGACCTTCGGTCCTGCCTCCTTCCCTCACAGATCCCTTGTTGTACCCAAGCAGGTAATCCCATGGCCTGCCCCGCCCCTGTGAGTCCCCGGCCCTGCTCACCCCACGTCACCCCAGGTCTCCAGTTGGTTTGGGAGCTGCCACCCAGGCCTTCGGCTTTTCCCATCACTGCTCATTCCCACGAGCCACCTCCCTCCACCGAAAACCAGACTTCTGGTGAGACGGCTCTGCCTTTTCTCGGAGTGTGGCTTTTCTGGGGTGCTGGCCTCGCTGTATTCTAACTTTCTGTCCCTCCCCAAGGTTGACCCTGGGCCGGGTCAGCTGAAGAACTGACGGAAGAGGCAGAAGAGCCCCCGGAGGACACCGCCCTGGACCAAGCCCTCCTTACCAGCCCCGCGCCCAGCCTCTCGCCTCCGTCCTGGTTTGGGGTGAGTGTTTTGCTTTCTTGAAACACCAAGATTTCCTTAACACATTGCGTACCGCATAGAAATCTCTAAGACATACGCCAGGGACCGCACGTTTTTGGGCAAACTGCACGTTATTTAAGTCATCATAATGCACTTTAGGTGTTGTTCTTCAATAATTATAACATTTTTATTTACTTAAACAATTAAACAATTAAAGTTCCTAGTACTTTTTAAACGTATGGTACTGCGTAAAACATTTTCCTCTATGAAGAGGGACCAAACAAAATTTACATAAGTATCTAGATTCGCTCCTTTTTCCATGGGCGTGAAAAACGAGAACACGCGTGAGCGGTCCTTCACAGATGGCACGAGAAACTCGAGAAGACTCCTGAGCGGTACGCAATGTGTTAAGTCCACCTCACATTCAAGAATGTACACATTTAGCTTGGGGGGATCACTACCTTCTACTCCAACTCGGGGCCTGGGAATCTGGCTGCTGCCTGGAGCCCCACCAAGCCAGCGTGTGACGGGGCCACCTGGTTGACCGGATGCTGTGGGGCCCCCCCCCATACGGTAAGTGAGGAGCGTCCAACTCTGGTCTGGGCCCCGAGAACCGGCTTGGGTCAGGCACATCATAGGTCCTCAACAAAGCTTCACTGAGCATGCTCATGAGATGAATGAGGGTGCACTGCTCTCTCAAGCACCCCCGACTTGTGGAGACGCGGCAGTAGGAATGCCTGTCTGCTCCGCAGCTAGAGAAACATTTCTGCCCCAGGCCATGGCCACGTCAGTCCCTGAGAGAATGCGGGCTCCTCGCACACGAGGCTTTGATAATGTCCTTTAATCAAATAGTGGTTTTGAGTGAGTTCTCCTCTCGGCCTCTTTTCCTTCCCCCTGAAATTGCAGCGAGACGGGAATGTTTGTGTTTGTTTACACACAATCAGTGATGGTGGGGAGGAAGAAGAAAGCGGGGTGGCAGTCACCCACCAGCCCAGGCGTCACCCGTCTCCGCGGTTCCCTCGTTCACGCCACCGGGGCGCTCGGGGCGGGGGTCCTTCTGTGGTGCCGGAGCCCAGGTTTGCCTGCAGGCCCAGAGGGTCCACTTGGGTGTCCTGGGAGGCCCCCCACAGCGACGGGGACAGCTAAGCAAGGTGACAGGAAGAGAAGAGGCTTTGCTGCCGGCACCCTCCTTTCTGGGGTCCTGGTGGCTGAGTTCAGGAAAGGGTGAAGCCTGCGTCCCGTGGAGGGACTCTGGGGGTTTTCGGAGGTGGCAGCCCAGTGGGGGTGTCCTGGTGAGCGGCTGGCCCTGTGCCTGGCCAGCCTCTCGCCTGCTGCTCCCGGGGGGGGGGGGAGGCTGCTGGATGAACGATGAGCGCAGACTGCCAGGCGTCCAGCCGGGAGGTGAGGGAGACCTGTAGGCCAGGCTGAATCTGATTCAGTCCCCCAGATGCCAACACTCGCCCTTATTCGAGGTGGGTCCTCGGGGTCCCACGCAGCACCCACAATGCTTTTGAGGGCATTTGCAGGGCAGCTCCTTCACAGCCCCGCCTCCTCCCCGAAATGGAACCGGGGTGCGGATATTGCAATAAAACACATCGGTGCAGGCAGAGAGGGGCGAGGGACGCGGACCCGGGCAGTACTGCCCATGTGTGTGCTTGTTCTCGCTCCGGGGGGAGCCCAGCAGGCTGGAGAGAGGTGGGGTGTGTGTGCCCAGGGCTAAGCCCAGGGAGGGGCCCCAGGAAGATGGTGCCCTGTGATATTTACTCCACAGCTGGCATTTGCCAAGCCACCTGCGAACACGGTGCCGAGGAAGACAGGCGGGGGCGGGAACTTTACACAGAACTCCTGGGGGGCTCGGTCCGGAGCTTCCCGGAGAGGTCCGTGGAGCTAGCCTGAGGCAAATGCCCAGGGCTTCTAGACTCCTCCTTAGGGCCATCTCAGGACTCCTTCACGGGGGGCTGAGCTGAGGGGCAGAGTCAAGGTGAGAGCAAGTGCCCAGCCAGTTCCAGACTTTGCCCCTCACCCTGCTCAGTCGTTTGGGGTGGCCGGGCTTTGGGCGGAGCTGTATTTCAGGTACACTTGTGAATGGTCAATTCCAGGCAAATACACGTGTTGGGGTTCGTGTGGCATAAGCCATTATCAAATAGATAATAACAGATCAAATTCTCAATGAAAGAAGTTGAATGTATCGTAAATCAGCCTTGCATCCCAGTCATCCCAGGAATGGCAGGAGGGCCGTTGTTAAGTGTCAAAAAACCTTTTGCAGGAAAATTCTTTTTTGGTGGATCGGTCCATCCTTGAGCAGTATGGGGTAGCAATGAGACCCGGAACAGCCAGAGGACTCTGTGGTGGTGGTGGGTGGCGGTTTTCTGGCCATTTTGTCCTTATCCTCAGCTGTTCCCCGGGGTCTGCTTCTACCCGGATGCTTTCGGATGGGCACGGATGTTGGGGAAGAGGCGGTGGCCTTGTCTGGAAGCTGGCCCTCCCGCCCCGCCTGCCTCCCCGGGGGCAAGGGAGAGGGGCCGTGTGTCACTCAGCCGCTGTACGCGTGGGGAGGGAGAAGGTGCTCCCTCTTGGCACCCCCCAGTTTGCCCTCCTGCAGCCTCCAGGGTCCCTGCCCTTGTGCCTCCTGACTCGTGATTCAAACCCCAAATGTCTTTCCAAGCACATTTCTCCAAGTAATGTCGAAGCCTGGCAAGACCCAGGGCAGCGCGATGCATGTGTTTCTCATTCGTTCATTTACATGCAGAAATTAGCCGTGTTTTTATGTGCAATCTGACGTCCAGAAAGAAAAGGAGAATCTGTCCATCTCTAATGAGCTTGCTAATGAATTTTTCCTTGAAAAGAGGAAGGCGGCTTTACACAGAATTTACACAATTTTTCCTTGAAAAAAAAAAAAAAGGGAAGGTGGCTTTACACAGAACTGACCCAAATTAAGGTCCCACAGGGTTACAGGGCCATGGCCAGTGTAGAAACCAGCAGCGTCGGCTCAGCGTCTCAGAGTCAGGAAAGGTGCGAAGGGAGGGAGCCCTCGACAGTACCCTCCTGGGTACCCGGGCGCTGCAGTAGGACGGGACAGGGAGAGGGGTCCCAAGTTCACTTGGGTCCAGTAGAGGTGGGGGGACCCCCTACTTTTGCCAAGCCAAGCTGCCCGGTACCTAAGAGGGGCATCGTTGAGGTGCCCATACATCCTGGCACTTCTAGTGCCTCCCTAGTGCATTTTAGACACTTGGACCCATATTCCAGTCTTCATTGGAAAACGGATCGCTCGAGCCATTGTTGGGGGAACTCAGGGCGATTAGAAAGTCACCAGATATGTCTCTATTTGTCTTCTCAGCTCCCTGCCCGCCTCAGTCCTCGGTGGTCACGGGGACCAGTGAGCAGAGCAGGTGCTGGGTGGCTGAGGCCAGGGTGGCCCCACCTTGGGGGGATGTGTGTGAGAGAGGAGTTAATTAAGGGAAAGGATGGCGGAGGGTATAGACATGACTCTCTTAATTGCTCTCCAATTTCTTTGGGCTTAGAAAAAAATCCAGATGGAGACTTCTTAAATCCCCCACCCTGGGGGTCGGGGCCAAGGAAGGCTCCCCACCACCTTTTGCTTGGCGTCGCTCTGCGCAGTGAATAGGGTCTTTGGCAGGGGCTTAAGGAGGAGACTCTTAGCCTGGGAGCTCCCAGGGCCGGTTCAGCTGGGAACAAAGGCTCGGGCAGAAAGGAATGTGGGGGAGCCCCGCGGAGCACAGCCACCTGGGGTAATTGGGAGGGCTGAGTGCAGATGAGTTTTCCCAGGTCTGTGAATACATTCTTTCAATAGAAGGTGCCTTTTCTTCAGATGAAAAGAAGAAAACCTCAATTACCTTCCCCTGAGGAGGAGGGTGTGGGAGTGTGTGTGTGTGTCCCCTCTGGGGGCTGCTGCCCCCGCGGGCTCCCTTGCCCTTGTGTGTGTCTTCAGAGACGCAGACAAGAGGCGACACAAAAGGCGTGCTCAGCCAGCCATGCCAGCGCGTGACCCCGGCCATGCTCGCGCTCCGTGTTCTAGGGCTTTCTTTCTGCGAGATTCTCAGGAGGAAGAATCGGTGGCTGTGCCTATAAACAAGAATTTGATCAAACTGGGCCCGGCGCCCGAGAGACAGCCGGAGAGACAGAATGGGGCCAAGGACAAAACTCCAGAATGGAAAGTTGGGGAAGGAGGACAGTCAGGGGGCCAAAGGCTGACCGCATGTCTGTGCTGGCCGTCCAGGGCCGCAGCTGCGTGGCTCCTGCCGCCTCCTGGCCCTTTGTTGAGGCCACCCACCGGTGGAGAGGGTCCTTCCCACCAGGCTAAGAAGTTGGGGTGACGACCTGGGGATCCACGGAGCTGTGCTGGGATCAGGAAAGGTGGGGGAGAGTCGGTAGGGACCCCGGGAGCAGGAACAGCCCGGAGCAAGGGGACCTGTTGAGATGGAGGGAAAACAGAGCCACCATTGCCCCAAACTGCCCCGAGGGCTTGAGTCCCCTCCCTGGGAACCAGGGCAAAGTCCCTGCAAGAGAGGAAGGAGTCCCAGGTCTCAGTCTTGGCTGGTGTCTGTGTGACCACTGGCTTCGGGACCTCAGTTCTCCCATCTGTAAAGTGAGGCAGTAGCATAATCAGGTGTGCATAATCCATGAGGCAGAAGAAGCCCGGGCATCAGTATTGGACAGGCCAGGGACGGGTCGGAGGTCCCAAGTGTCCAGATTGGGCCCATGAGTCTCCTAGGTGGGCACTGGGATGAAGGCACACCCCCGCTACTTGGGACTGGCCAGGTGGTCAGAGGAGAGCTTGGGACCCAGGGTCAGGCAGCAGCCCTAAGAGGCCTTTTGGACACCTGGTTCCAGCCTATGCATAGCACTAACTGCAGTTGGCCCCTGTCTGTAGTCCGCTGGGACTCAGTTTTCCCATCTGTGAAATGGGGCGGTGCCTAATCACCATTATCTGAGTGCCCCTGTTGCTGTGGGACCCTCCCAGCTTCCTCGGTGGTCACCCGTGGCCTGTTTGTTTGTTTGCTGGGTCTTTAGAGTCAGGGGCTGAGATTACTGGCCCATTAGTTTCCAAGAGATGTACTTTAGGGACAAGCAAACCAGAGCCCAGGTGGCAGGCCTGGCTGTGAACCTGTTGCGACGCTGGCTGCACTCGACCAGCCTGGCGGTGGGGTTGCAGCCAGTAGCCGGCCTCCCGGTCAGCTTCTCATGAACACAGAGTCTAATAGTGCTCACGCCCCACACTCGCTCCAAGGGGCTGTGTGGTGCGAGGATTGCATTCTATGGAGCACTTTTCCAAATGTGTGGGCCGCCGGCCAGTCCTGGAAAACCTCTGGGCAGTGGAGCGGTCACTGTGTAATGAGACCGGCCCGCGGCTGCAGTCCCAGGAGGGTGCGGCGGCCACACCTTCCCTGTGGCTCACCCTGGGCCTTTGGGTCACGAGACCCTTGGCAACACACAACACCCCAGTTGGCAGCCTGGCCCGCTCAGCCGAGCACTTCCCGCAGAAGCCATCGGGGTGGCAAGTTCTGGAAAAGTGATCAGCCAGCGGCCCTGTGCCGCTGCGCGCCTCAGCCCGGCTTTGCAAACATTCCCAGCCATCTCTCTGTGCTTCAGTGGGCGCTAACAAACAGCTCCCGGAGCCTCGGTCAGGCTGCACCCGTCATTACCATGGTGGGCTGCCGCTTTGTTTGGTGACCTTGGTTACTACAATACCTGCGAGCTGAAACAAGGAATCAAAAAATTGCCAGCTTCAATTAGACCAGCAGACTGCCTTTCCCAAGGCTGCCTCTGCCATTCTATCCATTAACGGTACCCATACGCCAAATAGGCCCTAATTCTCTCTAATTGCCCACTCCTGGAGCAAAGAGTGAAATTCCAGGAAGAGGCATATGTAAACATCCTTCACCGCCCACCAAGGGGGGGGTGAGGCGGCTGAGGGGGCCGGCGACAGAGAGAGGGGACAGGATTTCAAAAGATGTTCCAATTACCGCTCTCATTTTTGTAAATGGGCCCATAATGCACAGGGCCCTGGCCCTCACAAAGGTCCGGGAAATGAGTTCTGCACAGACCTGCTTCTCAGGGCGGCTCTAAACATCCAGTGATTTGTCCCCAAAGACAGGTCAGATCACTTAGGTTCCATGTGCTTCCAGAAAAGAGTGAGTTTAAAGATCTTGGGATGCTGAACGAGAATGCTCTAACCCCGTTAAGCCGGGGAGGAGATAGGGGGTGTGTCCACGGTGCTTTCTGGGTGGATCTGGAGCTCTGCATACCTTTTTGCGAGGTCTCCCAGGCACCAGTGTGTGACAGTCGTTCCTCTGGACCCCGTAAGGGGACCTCGTGTTTTCCTGTGGCGCCAGGCACTGGCTCATCTTTGCAGCTTCTCTGACATTGGTTAAGGTTTCAGCCCAGGACCGTGTTATTAGCACAACACGCAAATCCAGGCCTGCGTCTTCCCAGAGCAGCCTGGGGTCTGCATGAAAGTTCATCCAGGGCAACCAGGGACTCTGAGGGCGCATGGTCCCCCCACCCCTAGCAGAAGCAGGTCCCATTAAACTACCTAAGAGACCAGAACAATCCCCAAAGTACTTCCCTGCTCCTGTCCTGGGGGAAGTGGCCGTGCCCGCGGTCAGTCCTGCTGCAGGTTCAGGCTCTGGAGTCCCTCTGTCCCTTAGGGCCCCGTGGGTGGTGGGTGGTGGGAGGGCCACCGCAGGTGTCTCAGGCTCCTGGGGGGGCGAGGCACATCTCAGGTGGTAGGTATCTCACATAATCAGAGGTCCTGGAACCCTCAGATAACCAGTCTGCCCTCGGTCACTCACGAGCTATAACTGCTTCATCAGTACTTATTTTTAAAAGACTTTTTGTGTTTTTTTTTTGGATAGAAAAGCAACCCATTAGGGAATAACAGTGTTCGGGAAGCTCAAGGCCAGGGAAGGAGTTTTGAGGAGGGTTTAGAGGTAAAAGGTGTATCCCCAGTGCCCCATTCAGATGTTGGGGGCCCCAGTGAGTGATGCAGCAGGGAATGGAGAGGCAAAGGCAGCAGGGGTATCCCCAGTGGCTTACGTCAGGGCAGGGGAGTTGGCGAGAGCCTCTTCCTTGGGGTTCCCTGGAGGGCCAGGGGCAGCCTGCGCCCTCTCATTCTCTCCCCAGTCTCGGGCTCCGCCCTCTCGCCTGTTCAGACCTCAGCCATTGTAGACCACCTGTTGGCCACACCTGCTTACCTTCACTAGACTCTAATAAATGTATGTTCAAAATCCACTCACTTAAAAATTTGTAATGAATAGACTATTTCTTCTGAGTAATTTTAGGTTTACAGAAAAAGTCAGTGGTGAATCCAGAGAATTCCATTTCACCCCCACACCCCCACTTTCCTGTCATTAGCATCTTGCATTAGTGTGGCACATTGTTACAATCGATGAGCCAATATACGGTTGGCTTTCTGGATCCATGGGTTCTGCACCCATGAATTCAACCCAACGTGGATTGAAAATATTTGGGAAAATAGTCACGTTGCTGCTGACAACGTGTGTTGTGTCGTGAGGCCTACAGTGGCTGCTGGCTGCGTCTACTGAACACACACAGGCTTTTTTCTTGTCGCCATTCCCTAAACAATCCCCTGTAACAACTACTTACACAGCATTTACACGGTATGAGGCATGACAAGCAACCTAGAGGTGATTTAAAGTCTGCGGGAGGGTGTGCATGGGTGACACGCCAACACTACACCACTTCAGGTGAGGGACAGGGCACCCGCGGATTTCGGTATCTGAGGGGGGTCCTGGAACCAATCCCCCGTGGACGCGGAGGGAAAACTCTATAATGACCTACCTGCCTTTACCCAACTCACTTTCTTTAAACTCAAAATTTAAGGCAAATGCTTGAAGTCAGTGACCCTTAATGCCGCCCATAACCCACTTCTCTGTGTCATCCCGGGCCAGCTGCTCTGCTGGTCACCTGGCCACCACCTGGCTGCACTGTTGACATCTCCCTGAGCACATGCTGATGGCCGCTCTGCCCTTCCAGCCAGGCAGAGTGCCCTTCCAGGGAGCATCCCATCCCGTTCATGCTTTTGTTGTCCAGCTCAGCTCTCCCTTGGGCAGTGGCCCTAAACTCTTGGATTTCACAAAACAGAACTTAGTACACGGGCAGCACCAACCGCAGGAGCCATGTTCCATGCTGTCCCCTGCCCTCTCCGCTCCATCTGTGGCTGAAGTTGGGGTGGGGAGCTCGGCAGGCAGGCGAGTGCGAGACCAGTGTATTAAAAAGAGAGACGCTGCCCTAGCCGGTTTGGCTCAGTGGATAGAGCCTCGGCCTTCGGACTCGAGGGTCCCGGGTTCGATTCCGGTCAAGGGCATGTGCCTTGGTTGTGGGCACATCCCCAGTGGGAGGTGTGCAGGAGGCAGCTGATCGATGTTTCTCTCTCATCGATGTTTCTAGCTCTCTATCCCTCTCCCCTCCTCTCTGTGGAAAATCAATAAAATATATATTTACAAAAAAAAAGAGAGATGCTTGGTGTCACCAGTTCCATACTTGCTAGACGTGGGGGAGTCCCTGCTCCATTCAGTTGGATGAGGTTCTCTTCAGTGACTAGTGCCTTGTCTTTCCAGACGAAGCCATCGTCCGGATTCGTCGTGGGATGGGACGTCAGACACACGCCCCCGCGCCCTCCACCTGTGAAATCGTAAGTTCCCGGAATGCGGAGCACACACCTATGGCCTTGTCACTGAGGGTGGGGGGCCGCCGCTCTGCACACCGCCAGGCGAGCCTTGTGGGAGGGACTGCTGAGCACTGGTCTGCTGGCAGGGAGGTGGGCGCCCAGCAAGCCAGTCGAATGAGGACCTTGGGGGGCTCATGTTCTAAGGCAGGACCTCCAGCCTCTTGTGTTGTGGCAAAGAATTCTATAGGCGGCTTCGAGTGCCAGACCCTAAAAGAATTTCTTTCACTCCTCGAAATGAATGGCCCTTTCATTACCGAGTGTCCCTATGGCTCTTGTGCTGCGGGGCAGCCTACGATGGAAGTGCCCTTTTGAGCTGGGGGCCTTCACAGGCCACTGAAAGAGCTCGGGCCGAGGGACCTGCCTTTCAAATGGGCTTGCAGCCCCAGTGACCTCGCTCACCCCCTTGAAATGTCTGGAAAACAGAATGGGCAGATTTTCTGTCTTCACGGTGTCCGGCTAAACCTCTTCAAGTTCTTTATTGTTGAGAACTGAGACGCTCAGCAATGGTAATGGGTCATTCCTTTTGTATTTGCCTTGAAAGGCCAAAATATTTTTATATTGCTACAAACAAAGCTGCCTATTTAAAAATGAACTCCATATCCGTTGTTTCCCACCGGGGAGACCGTGTACGACGTGTGTGTCTCTGTGTGTCCTCCCGGGGCCTGAAACTGCTTTCTCATGGGATAGCCATTCACAGGGCCGGGGGGAAGTGCCCGCCCTGTCCCCAGTGGGTTAGGCTACACTCACTTTGACTATACCTGTGCCTGCTCGTGCCATGTGAATGTGTTAAGGACTGTGGGTTGTGCACACCCTGGTCTTGGTGGTTAACTCGGTAAGGAAAAAAAAAAAGGCCCAAGGTATGGTGATTTTATTGGTTCGATGAAGGAATGAATAAACAAATAGGTAAAGAAGCGACGAGCCAGAATGAGAGTGTACGCTGAACAAGATCCAATGGAGATCACTATGTAAGTCAATCAAATACTGAATCAATGTGTAAATAAGGCCACACACGAACTGGTATCAGGTCATCATGGACCAAGGAATATGTGTCATTCAAATAGAGAGCACCTAAAGTTTTTCAACAAAAGAATAAAAGCTAAATAAAGGAAAGAAGAAGTAAGTAGAAATGCATAAACCAATGGTGACTGTACTGTATTGTATGTGTAAACGCTTGCTAAGGGGGTGGATTTTATGTAAAGCATTCTTATCATAAATGGTAATAATACATACAAGGGTGAGAAGAGACTTTTCAATGTGATGGACAAGTTTATGACAGATTGTAGTGATGGTTTCACAGTGCACACTTATCTCCAAATTCTGATGTGCATGTGTACATTTATTGTACAGCTTTTTGTCAAAAAGGTAAAAATTAAAAAAATAAAGAGAAAGTTACTGTGGAAAACCCCACAAACCAATGGCGAGGTTCCGAGACCCGTCCAGGTGGGACAGATGCTGGAGAGAAGGGACAGGTGATTGAAAGGGAGAAAGAAAATGGCAAGAAGCAAAAAATTAAAGAAAAGGAAGAAAGATAACTTAAAAAAATTTTTTTATTGATTAAGTTATTACATATGTGTCCTTAGAAAGATAACTTTTAAAAATTATGAGGTGAGTAAATATAAGGACTATTTCAGGTTATTATAAGCTGATTAATTTGAGTAGGTGCTCCTGGCATAGAAAAATAAACAACAGAGGAAGTTAAAAGAATAATTAAAGAGGAAGGAGGATTCAGGGGACCAAAGATGAGAAATAACTTTAACCAACAGTGTTTTTTAACTCTGGGTACATATAAATAAATAAATACTGAAATGAAAGAAAGCCAAAAAGAAAGGAGAAATAGAATGGCTGAGTGAGCAGTGAGATACCTGGCCCTGGGTTGGGAATGTGGTGTGAGGGGCTTTGCGTTGTCAGTCCCTGGGAGCTGAGGTCCGTTACATGAAATGATGAAAGAACAAGAGGATAAATAAAACATCTAAATGCAAGTCCAGAAATAGGGAAGAAAAAGTAGCAGGTGTTAGGTACAGAAGTACATTAATGGGTGTATTGATGCTAAGGGGAGAGGTAAAAGACTGCCACGAATCAGGGGGTAGGGTGAATCCAAGTCTAAAACTGCAGTACTGACAATAAAATAGTAAGCATATAAATAAACAAGGAGAGGAGACCCTAAGGACAGCACTCCTGATGAGAGGTTGGGTGGGTGGGTGCGGGGGGGCAGGGGGGACGGGACGGTGGAGGTTCATGAATTCCCTCTGGGCAGAAGCTCTAGGAGAATGAAAGAATTCAAGTGAGAAAGAGGGGATATAGGAAGCTGTAACAAAAGAGACAGGAAGAATAAAAAGGGACAGTGACTAAATGAACAAGTGGTAGATCCTCAGGAGAGGGTTAGGCTAGGACTGGTAATGAGGGGCCCTCACAAATTGGATCACAACTGGTCCAAATCTGAACCCTCCATTCACTAGCAGAGGAGTAAATACCTGGTAAAAAGAAAGAAAACAGGAAGGAAGAATGAATGGATGAGTGGTTGAAGGAAGCACAGAAGGAATTAATGAGATTGGGCCTGTGGGGGCCATGGTGGGTGTTTGCAGGAGGCAGTGGGATTTATCCGACCATGGCAGCTGAGCTCCAAGAAAGAAAGAATGAGAGAGTGAAGGGGAGAAATAGTGAAAGTTGGAGAGAAATGTAAAAATTATCTAAAGAAGAAGAAGGTAATTAGGTAACAAATAAATATATGAGAGAGCCATTCTAGGAATAAGAATGAGGGTGCATGAACCAAACACTGATTAATTCACATCTGTGCTTCTGACATGGGCAACCACCCACCCACCCAGGAAACAGTTCAAAGCTGACACACATAAGGGAGGACCACCATGAGGCCAGGGAGGGGAGGACCCATTGACTACAGATTATCATGTATCCAATTAGCTGCATCTGTCATCCAGAAGCGGAAAAACAACAATTTAAGTAGAAAGACTAAATGGATGCATGAAGGCATGAATGAGGGAAAGAATGAAGAAAAAGATTTGCATTGACTGATGAGGAGGGGGTTGTAGAGGGGGTTAGGGTTCAGCCAATCCCTGGTGCCTGGCCTCCAAAAGAATGAAAGGCAGTAAGAAAGACAGATTGAAAGACTGGTAGAAAAACCAATTAAGATGGGGAAAAATCAACATAAATAAAAGGAGTAAGAAAAATAATAAATAAGTAGGCCAAACAACTACCAAGTATGAGAGAGGACTGGTTTAACACTGATCTTCCACATTAATTCAAATCTGTGGCCCCGAAGTTTATAAATAATAAAAACAATACCACACGCAAAAGACACAGAGAATAAATCCATGTGTTCCATGAGAGGGCAAGAAAAAGAGTTTGAAAATAAAAAGACTGGGAGAAAAAAGATGTAGGAAAAGAAATTAAATAGACAAGTGGGGGAAAAGGCACTTACTAGATAAGTATTTAAATATAATGAACAAATATTCATTAAATATAATTAGTAATAAAAAGTGAGTTTCCACAGTAAAAAAACCCCAAGTGGCTAAAAAGAAAGAAGGAATTAGCAGAGGAATGGCTGTGTGAATAAATGAATAAGAAATGATGATTTGAGAAAACAAGGAATGGGAGGCATGGAAAATTATGACAAGATGAATATAAGCAATAAAAACATTAAGTGAATATATATGTATATATGTATGTATACACACACACACACACACACACATATATGAGAGAGAGAGAGAGGGCCATGCTAGAACAAAAAAAATGAGACAATATCTTGACCCCCAAATTATGACTGATTGAAAACTGGGCTTTTGATGTAATTAAATAAACCCTAAAGCCAAGCACCAGTACAAGAAATTAACAAGCAAAAGGGCGCCCCACGGACAGGTGCTGAGAAGGCTCCAGGAACCACAGATGATGGTTAATCCAATTCTGTGCACCTGAGGCCCATAGATAAAAGGATAAATATTGAAATAAAGGAGTGACAGGAAGGATGAACAGATATCTGAGCGGCTGCCTTAGAAACGGCTGTGCCAGCATCCGCCAGGGCCGGGCTGCCATGGGATGGATGCTCATGTCACTTTAGGGAGCATGTCACCTGTGGTCCCTAAACATGAACAGATGCAAGAAAAAAGCATCAGAGTTAAAGAAAGAGACGAGGAAAGCAAGATGAAACTAAGTAAAAGAGAAGGAAAAACACCCACCAAAAAACCCTGTAAAAAGGTCACATGGGTGGGTCTCAGATAGAAAAGCCTGTTGGGGCTGGTAATGGGTCATCATTAGTCCTAAAGATGGATGAGATCATCCGATCCTGTGTCTAGGGCAAGGGAAAATGAGAATTAAAAAAAAAGGCAAAAAAGGAAACAATAAATAAACAACCAAAATGATAAATGGCTAGTTAAGAGGTTGTCTGAACGGGGATTATAATTGGTTTACATACATACTCCTTAAATAGATAAATGCATTACACCTTTCAAAGAATAAATGAAAAATTGAGAAAACACTGGCCAAAGAAACAGCCACTGCAGTAAAATATATGCAATCGAGGTATATAAATAAAAATAATAAATACTGAATGTAAAAGGTGACTAAATGCAGGGAAGAAAGATTGCACGGGAAAATAAATTCACGGGCCAGTGAGGTTCATTTTGCACATGGGGTTTTGACTAATACAATTTCACAGGAGACCTAATAAGTAAAAGAAGACCCAGAATAAGAAAGAAAGGACAAATGCATGAGCGAGTGAAAGAATGAACGAATGAGTGAATGAATGAATGAATGAATGAGGGTTGGAGCTGCATAGACCAGGGATAAGGATGTTGCATGTAGGACTCTGGTGCATCCTATGCACCTGAATTGATAAGAATGAGAGAATGTACAGAAGAGTGAGAGGAAGGGAGAAAGATGAAATTTGGGAAGAAATAAAAAAAATAATGAATAAAAATTATATATGAATGAATAAAGAGGACTTGTGAAAGGAGGGCTTATGAACTA